CTCATCAAGCTTGGTTGCTTGCAAATCAAATTAATAATGACAATAATTAATTATTTGAGCTAAATAAATATTATGTGTAAATAATTTTGTCAATCAACACATCAAAAGCTTGAAAATTTGTTTTATTGAATCTTTCTTGTACAGGAAGCTTAATTTGATATGTTTCATCAAGAATTTCCTTCAAACCCTATCATTACAAATGTAGCCCAAACTTCTAATGTGTAACCTACCTTTAATCCCTCAAACATTCAAGATGGTGATGTTTCTCAAAAATGTGGTCGTGGTAGACATTGTTGTTGTGGTCGTGGTTATAGTATGGGATATGGTTTCAAGCTTATTTGTCAATTGTGCAACAAATATGCTCATGATGCTTTTCATTATTAGAATTGTTATGATTAGAATTTTGTCCTTTTGCCCTCGTCTTAGCCACGACATGGTTATGTTTTGCATCAAAATACATGGCATTCAAACCAATATAATCAACATACACAACCTAATGCCTATGTTGCTACTCCTCACCTTCAACACGGATTGACTCAATCACAATCAAATCCACCCAAGAATAAATATTTTCACAATTGGTACCTTGATTCAAGTGCCTCTCATCTTTTTACTAATGATCCACAAAATTTAACTTAAAGCACTCAATATAGAGGCACTAATCAAGTTCTCATGGGCAATGACCAAGGTTTGTCTATTTCCTCTATTTGTTCCTCTATTGTTATTCCACCTTTAATTCATCTGTTCATTTTACTCTCGATAATTTGTTGTTAGTTCCTAATATTACTAAAAATCTTGTATTTGTCTCAAAGTTTTCACAAAATAGTGGAGTTTATTTTGAATTTTACCCTACTATTTGTGTTGTTAAATCTCATGCATTTAATTAAGTTCTTCTTGAGGGTGCACTTAGTACTAATAGACTCTACTCTTTTTCACAATTAAGGATTCTCAAAGACTCTTTCACCAACACTAAACAATCTACTTTTCAATTTAATTTGCATGTACTTCATAATTATATTGTATCTCCTTCATGTGATATAAATACTTTCTTATTTTGTACATGACATTGTCGTCTTGGTCATGCTCATTCAAATATCGTAAAATTTATTTTTTAATTGTATAATATTCCATATTCAAATAAACCAGTTATAGATTTTTGCAATGCATGTTGCTTGGCTAAATCACTTAGACTTTATGCTCCTCCATCTTTAACAATTTACTTATCTCATTTTAAACTCATTTTCAATGATCTTTGGGGTCCAACCCCCTTGGTATCATCTAATGGATATTATTACTATATTTCTTTTGTGGATGCATACACACATTTCATGTGGATTCATTTTCTCAAGCAAAAGTTTGATGTTGTTGTAGATGTCAAGTAATTTATTCAACTTGTTGCCACATAGTTCCCATCTATCGTTACATCTACTCAAACTTATTGGGGTGGGGAATTTTGACATTCACCAAAATCCTATGTGATCTTGGTATTGCTCACCGCTTAATGCGCCCTCACACATCTCATTAGAACGATATTGTTGAATGCAAACACAGACAAATTGTTGAAATGGGTCTTATGTTGCTCGCACATGACTTTATTCCTCTCAAGTATTAGGGTAACAACTTTATTATTGTAGTTTATCTAATTAACAATTTGCCTAATCATGTCTTACCTCATTGCCCCTCACCATTTGTAGCTTTATATAAATTTCAATTAGACTACAAATCTTTGCGCACTTCCAATTGTGTTTGTTTCCCTTTGTTATAACTATATATTCACCACAAACTTCAGTTTTGGACAAAAGAATGGGTTTTTGGGACAATCACCTCAACACAGAGGCTTTAAATTATTGGAAGTTATATATCCAAAAATATGCTCTTCAATAAATTTCGTTTCCCTTATAACTCCCTATTTTCCATACTTCCCTCTACATTATAGCAAACACCTCCTTTTACCTCCATTATACCATTTTTTCAGAATACTCCTATATATAAGCCACCTATACTACAAATTCCCTCTACCACTCAACAATCTAGCTTATCAAGTAGCCCTTCCATGACTTTACATTACCTACCTCAAATCCCGACTCTACATTTGATACTACCAATTCCCCTACTACCTTACTTGAACCTCTCAATACTCATCCTATGGTAACTCACTCTAAAAGTGGTAATCTTAATAGCCAATAGTAATTCTCTCAAACATTAAACCAACTACAATTCATCAAGCATTAGCTCATCCTAAGTGGCTTACAACGATGAAAGAATAACATGTTGCTCTACTTGCTAATGAAACTTGGTCCTTAGTTTTGTTGCCTCCTCAATGACGAGCCATTAGCTGCAAGTGGGTATTTCATGTTAAAGAAAATTTTGATGGTAGTATCAATAAATAGAAGGTGCGTTTACTAGCTAACGGGTTTCATTAACAACCAAGTTTTGACTATGAAAACATTTTATTCAGTTATTACTTACAAATGATCCATTCAACATATTAATGTCAACAATGCATTTTTAACGGCATCTTCAGGAGGAAGTGCTCATGGTTCAACCCCCTGGTTTTAAAGCATTTGACAAGTCTTTGATTTGTCACATTTGTAAGGCACTTTATGGATTCAAACAAGGTCCTAGGGCCAAGTATGAGAGGCTAACCAACACTTTGTTATAGTTTGGGTTTGTAGTCAGTCATTGTGATCCTTCCCTCCTCATTCTCAAGAATGGGCATGTATGTATATATGTGTTGATATACATTGATGATATCATAATTACAGGCTTCTTCACTACTTTTATTTCAAACTTGATTACTAAATTGAATCTCAAATTTTCTTTGAAACAAGTAAGGACCCTTGACTACTTTCTTGGTGTTGAAGTTAAGCATCTTCTTACTATATCTTTTTTACTTACTCAATATAAATATATTTGTGATCTTTTGCATCAGGCTAAAAGGATTGATGTCAAGGGTATTTCCACACCTATGAATACTTGCAGCAAATTAAGTAAATGTAGCATAAATATTGTATTTGATCCTCATTTATATCAATCCATAGTGGGTGCTCTATAACATCTCACTCCTACTCATTCAAAAATTGTTTTTAGTGTAAATAAAGTTTGTCAATTTATTTCCAATCATTTGGACTCTCATTGGCAAGCTGTGAAACAAATTCTACATTACTTAAAAGATTCTAGGCCCTATGGGTTGCTTCTCCAACTAGTTTCTCCTCATATTCCTTTTCTCATACGAGAATATATATTCTAATGTTGATTAGGCTAATGATATAGATAATTGTTGGTCTACATTTGGTTCTTGCATCTTTTTTGGCTTAAATCTTGTCTCATGGTGGTCCAATAACAACCTTTTGTTGCCCACTCCACCACTGAAACAGAATACCAAAGTATGGCACAAACAATTGCAAAAGTTTTATGGCTTTAGTCCCTTATAATTGAATAACTTAGAATTCCTCCTAGTGCTCCTATGTTGTTCTATGACAACGTAAGTGTTATTTCTCTTTTCTACAATCCTATGCTTCATGCTCGTACAAAATATATCGAGTTAGATCTTCATTTTCTTTGAGAGAAAGTTATTTCCAAGTCATTAACATTTATCAAGTGCCAGCAGCTAATCAAATTTCTGATTCATTTACAAAGCCTTTATTTACCTCGCGGTTCAGTGAGTTAAGCACCAACACCCTTAGTTTGAGAGGGGGCTATCAGTGTACACAATCATTGTATAATCTTTTTTTAGTTTTAAAATAATAATTATACTATTTGATTTCAATATGTCATTGTTCATTGTCTAGTATAGTCTTAGGATGTCATTCTCTCTACCATTTTATAGATAAAAGATTATACAATTTCAAATTTAATATATTAGAATCGATATAATAATAAAGGAATTTAAATAGTATATTTAAAGTTTTGAATTCTTTGTTCAATAATAATCAAACTTGGTGTAAGAAGATTTACAATAATTTATGCACATTGCTTAACTCGTTAGATTAAAAGTTCTTTACTCTTAGATTATATATACAAAATTTATATCAATCTAAGATAATTTGATAATTTATTCTTATAAAATAAAATTGATGTAATATATATATTTTTAAATATACTAAAATATGAATACTTTAATTAATTTCAAGTTGTTGTTCAATTTTAACAAAATTTGATATAATCATATAAAATAATATGAACTTTCAATCTAACGGTTAGATAATTACAAAATTCACATTTAATATAAAGTTATTGAGCGGTGTAATACTTAATAAAAGTTACATCAATGTTATTGTAATCCTCCTATATATATATTTATAAAGTTTATGTTCTAATTTTATTATTATTTTATAATTTTAAATTAATTATTGACTGTTAATAAAGGTCAAATCTCAAAATCTCAATCATATGTAATGATAAAAAAAAAGTAAAATTAATTAATGAGATGTTGACTATTAGGAAATCTAGCAAAGTCACAACACAAACCACCCAACTAGATGAAATGATTATATGAAAATTTGGACAAGATACTAAGTACTACTAAGAAACTGTGTTTTAGATAAAATTATCTTATAATAATAAGCTAGTTAAAGCTTCGAAGAAATAAATTATTAGTTGAAAAACTATAAACTTATAAGATAATTGATTAAATTAAAAATATTTAATAAAATTAGCTAATATATGTAAACTATAAATATTTGTTGTAAAAAGGAATTTAAAATAAATTAATAAAGATAAAATAGGGGGAAAAAGTAGTAACTTATAAGCTAACTTTTTTCATAAACTATTTAAAGTAATTTATAAAAATAATTATAAATTATTAAAATAAATTTGTATATACTAAACAAACGTATATGATGGTCAATCACCTCCAAAATATGATCACAACATTAATGTTTTCATACAATTCTTAAATATAAAAAAAACTTATTACTTTTAATTCCTTAATTAATGTATTATATATTAGTGAACATGTTAAAAGAAATGCCTCGAAAATCTTTCGTGTCCAACTCTAATAACAATCTTTGCTCTTTATCTTAAGAATTACACATACATGACCATGAGTAACAGTCATAGAGGAGGAAGAGAGGACAAGCCAAATATACGATGTAAGTATCAATAACTAAGTGTTGTTTTCGATTTATATAAACAATTTATGTTCAACATGTTACAAGAATAATTTCTCACTTTTATTTTGTTCATCCATATCAATCACTCACTATTTTCTCCATACTCATTCAAATTGGAAATTAAATCCTAACTCTCTCCATTTATATACATTTCTCCTTTTAGGTTATCATTTAGTCATGGATCTATCCTTCAGAAATTAGCATAATTGAGACTTTTTGCTGCTTCTCTTAATTTCTCAATTGTAGTTTTGTTGGTAAATAAACGTTGAAGACAGTGTATGACTGACATATAAATTATACTTAACGTTATGATGAATCTAGTAGTAAAGAAATCAAATAATATGTATAACAAAATAAAAGTTTTAGATTTGAATCTTGTAGCAATTATTATAATTTTTTATTGATAAAAATAATTAATTATACTAAACGATGCTTTATTCTAATTAGCAATATCAATGGATGAAGCGAAGACAGCAAGATTGACAAAATCTGCTTTAGGTTTTGGAGTAATGTTTTCAGTGTTCACCTTCTTCTTGATTCAGATCACTTTGATACAAGGTAAACCACTAACTCTAAATTGCATATTTGCATAGAGTATTTTTGTATTTGGTTAACACAAAAACATACAACTATTTACTTTGAGGAGTCATTAAATAAAAATATTTATGGTGATGCAAATATTAAACACTCGTACTATATACCTCTTCTCAACAATAATAATAATTATTAATAACATTAATATTACTAGTGGGTGAGAGATACTGTGTTTTTATTATGTAAAAAATAAATAAGTATTGATTAGTTAAAGATTTAGTTAATAAATAATTAAAAATAGTGAAAGAGAGTAATTTGAAAGTTTTAAAGATAAAGTTGTAAAAAAAAAATGTGTATACTTATTGCTTTTATATATATGTTATAAATTAATATCTAAATAACATCATCATCATTTCTTTTGTTGGCAAAATTGTTTTTAGTTTGGTAGTTTCAACTAGGAATGACAAAAAATATAAATTAATATTAATAATATAAATTTATTAATTTATATATATATACATATATTAATATTTAATGATATTATTATATATTCATTAATTAATTAATTAATATTGAATAATATTTAATTTTATAATTTATTAGTATTTAATATTTATGTTAATAATTAATATTTAATATTTTTAGTATATATTAATAAACCAATTTTACTAATTTAGGCTAATATATACGTACTAATTTATATTCGCTAATTTAAAAGTATTATTGGTTAATAGTTTATATTTTTATTTTTATTTAATAGTAGTAAATGTACGTACAATTTTAATTTCTCGTGTAAGTAATATATAGTAATTTTCATTCACATGAAAAAATACTTATAGTAGGAATTAAAATAATATACATAAAGTTGTAATTCAACCAACATTAATTGATATAAGTAGTAATATCTTATATTTTTTAACCAAATTATTTAGGATTTAAATTCTAACTTTAAATATGAAATAAATTATCCTGAAAGAAGAATTACAATATCTAACAAAAATTAATCAATATAATTATATAAAAAAAACTCACATTCAAACTTTATTCCGTGATTATAATTCTTAATATAGAGAATTAAAATCACACAATCATATCATGCGAATTCCTAGTATTATAATTACTATTATTATTATTATTATTATTATTATTATTATTATTATTATTATTATTATTATTATTATTATTATTATTATTATTATTATTATTATTATTATTATTATTATTATTATTATTATTATTATTATTATTATTATTATTATTATTATTATTATTATTATTATTATTATTATTATTATTATTATTATTATTATTATTATTATTATTATTATTATTATTATTATTATTATTATTATTATTATTATTATTATTATTATTATTATTCATTTTTACTTTTTTTATTATTTAAAAATCTGTTTAAAATAGTTATGTTTAGGATAATAGCTTAAATTTGTAAGCATTTGTTTTTTTTTTTCCTTTTCAAAAATAAGTTGTTTTTATTAAGTAAAAAATTTAACAAAATTATTTTTCAACAACTTTTTCCCTTTTAAGCTAACTTACTACATAAAATTAATTATTTTGTTGTATCTAAATAAAATTAGACATCTTAAAATTAAATTTCAACAAATTTATCTAAATAAAATTTCATTTCAATTATAATTGATTATTGTTATAATTCATTATTCATATGAATTATAAAAATAATTCAATTTTTACGATTTTCTCAAACACATCCTAATGCCTGCTGGTTAAAAGATCGATTGAACTTATATCAGTAATTTTGTTCACGCTAGTTTCTCATGCTGTGGTTTAGTTAATTAATTAATTAAATTAGTTTCGAGCACAAAATATTATGTAATATGAAGTTTGGAGTTTTATATTTTGAAAATAAATCATATATTTGCAGATTATAAACTCTAACAGATATTCTTTGAAATTTAAACAACAAGGCTAATTATTTTTTTAATTAAATATTTGATTTTGTGTATTCAGATGCAACTACGTGGAAGGTGAAATTGAGACATGTGCTATCAATTTCCCAATGGGCCCCAAATCGAGATACCAGTGTTGCAATCACATGCAACTATTCTCATCAGCTATACGATATTTGCACAATCAACGGTCCAACGCTCTTGGATCATGCTTCCTCAACTTTCTTCACTCTGGGTCCCCACACACAGGATAAATGCCCAATCCCTATGAAAATCCGTCCTTACCCTCGCAAGGGTGACAAGACGGCAATGTCCAATGTTAACGAAGTCACACTCACTGCAGCTCCACCCAAACTATCCTGCGCCGTCACACACCGTACCCCAGCCATTGTATTCAGTGCGGCCGGGTACACCGGAAACTTCTTTCACGAAATAGACGAGAACTTCATCCCACTCTTCATCACCATCAATTCCTTATTCCCTAACCAAGATGTAACACTTGTGGTCATGGACGGTAACATTTGGTGGTTCCAAAAGTACGCTGAATTGTTATCAGCATTCACTCCCCACCGTTTGATCATCGACACAAAGAATTTATCTACCGTCCATTGCTTCCCATCAGCCACTATAGGGTTGATAAAACATGGACCCGTTATCATAGACCCAACATTGCTACAACCACATCCTAAAACCCTACATGATTTTCGTGCATTACTAGACAAAACATATGCCAAAGTTGACACCACCCCAAATCATCAAAATGGGAAAAATTCAAAGCCACGTTTGACATTGATCGATAGAAGAGGCAGTGTGAGCCGTGTGATGTCCAACCAAGGAGAAGTGATCAAGGTGGCTGAAGAATTAGGGTTCAATGTGCATGTGTTGGACCCAACAAGAAACAATTCTATGGCCAATGTTTATAGGGTGGTTCATGATAGTCACGTGTTGTTAGGGGTGCATGGTGCGGGTTTGACAAATTTCTTGTTCCTCAGGCCGGGCTCAGTGTTGCTACAAGTGGTGCCCATTGGGCTTGAGTGGTCCTCAAGAACTTACTATGAGAACCCACCAAAATTGTTGGGATTGGAGTACATAGAGTACAAGATTGAGGCAAATGAAAGTAGTTTGTCAGAGAGATATGGTGCTAATAGCTTGGTAGTCAAGGACCCCAGTGCGTTTCATAAACATATATGGTCTAAACAACGGATATATTTGAAGGAGCAAAATGTGGGAATTGACCTAGTTAGGTTTAGAAAGTGTTTGACAAATGCATATGAGAAGGCCAAAATATTTATGAGCAGAGTCAACTAGATAGATAGCTACATAAAGTTCCCTAGAAGTTAAAAAAGAGAGACAACATATTTGTTTTTTGTTATTTTGTTTATGAAAATTGCATTTTAATTTATTTTAGCCTCAATTCAAACTTTTTCTTTTCATTTTTAAATTAATGCACTTAAATAATCTAACAACGTTACAAGTGTTATGCTTTGTTTGGTTTGAGGAAGGAAATAAAAAGAAAAGAAAGTCAGAAAAAGAGAAAATGAATAGAAAATAAAATGATCTTTTAGTTGTTATAAAAGATAAAAGAGAAAGAAAGAAGACGAGAAAATAAAGTAAAATATTTATAAAATGACATAAATAATCCTATAAAAAAATTAGATATAATAATTTTTATTTTTTTTTATGTTATAATCATGAAGGTATTTTTTTTATTCATTTTTAAAGGGTTTGTCCTTCGAAATTGGAAAGAAAAAGATTTTGGCGTGGACCACTATATTGTTTCCTTTCTTCTTTTCTTTTAGGTTAAAAATCTATTTTGATCCCTTATAATAATTGTTTATTTCAATTTAGTCTCATTTTTATTTTTTGTTTTAATTTGGTCCCAAATAAATTAATTGGTTTCAATTTGATCCTTAATAAAATAATTGGTTTCAATTTGGGACTTCCGTCCAAATTATTTAAACGGAGTTAACTGTTGACCACGTGGATGCCACGTAGATGCATAGGTGGATGCCACGTGGATGCCAATTTTTGTGAAAACACCTGGAACCAGAACGGCCCGTTCTGAAATCAGAACGGGTCGTTCTGGATGCACTCTTGGTGTGTTAATTTTGCATCTGAAACGGGCCGTTCCAGATGCAAAATTAACACACTAAGAGTACAGCAGAACGGTCCATTCTGAAACCAGAACGTTTCAGAACAAACCGTTCTGATTTCAAAACGAGCCGTTTTGAT